TGGGATTGGTTTAGGGATTTGTTTGGGATTCTGGGATCCATTTTGGGATTTCTTTGGGATTTCTTTGGGATTCTGGGATTGATTCTGAGATTCCTTCGGGATTTATTCTGGGATTGGGTTTGGGATTGGTTTGGGATTTGTTTGGGATCTCTTTGGGATCTCTTTGGGATTGGTTTGGGATTGGTTTGGGATTTGTTCGGGATCTCTTTGGGATTGGTTTGGGATTGGTTTGGGATTTGTTCGGGATTGATTCAGGGATTGGTTTGGGATTGGTTTGGGATTGGTTTGGGATTTCTGGATCCATTTGGGATTCTGGGATTTGGTTTGGGAACCATTTGGAATTTTGGGATTTGTTCTGGGATTTCTTTGGGATTTCTTTTGGGATTGGTTCAGGATTCCTTTGGGATTCCGGGATTCCTTTGGGATTTTGGGATTGGTTCAGGATTCCTTTGGGATTGGTTTGGGATTCTGGGATCCATTCCGGGATTCCTTTGGGATTTGTTTGGAATTTTTGGGGGATTCCTTTGGGATTCTGGGATTCATTTCAAGATTCTGGGATTTGTTCTGGGATTTGTTCTGGGATCTGGGGACAGGGATGGGGACAGGGACACCTGACAGGGACACAGGGAATTCTTGTGAGACTTTTTGGGGTTTTTGGCTGAAATTTTTGGGTTTTTTTCTTTTTTTTTTTTTTTTTGTGGGGTTTTGGGGTTCTTTGTAGGATAGTTTTGGGTTTTTAATAGAATTTCTGGGGTTTTTTTGTGGTATTTGGGGTTTTTTTCCCTGGGATTTTGGGGTTTTTTGTGAGATTTTGGGGGTTTTTTGGTGGGATTTTGGGGTTCTTTTTGTAGGATATTTTAGGATCTTAAATAGATTTTTTTTTTGGTGGTATTTGGGGTTTTTTTCCCTGGGATTTTGGCATTTTCTGTGAGATTTTGGTAGGGTTTTTTTGTGGGATTTTGGATTTCTTTATAGGATTTTTGAGGTTTTTTATAGGATTTTTGGGGTTTTTTGTGGTATTTTGGGGTTTTTTTTCCCTGGGATTTTGGGGTTTTTTGTGAGATTTCGGGGTTTTTGGTGGGATTTTGGGGTTCTGTATAGGATTTTTTGAGTTTTTTTATAGGACTCTTTTGTTTTGTTTTTTGGTGGGATTTGGGGCTTTTTTCCCTGGGATTTTGGCGTTTTTTGTGAGATTTTCGGGGTTTTTGGTGGGATTTTGGGGTCCTTTATAGGATTTTTTGAGTTTTTTAATAGGATTTTTGGGGTTTTTTGGGGGGGGGTATTTGGGGCTTTTTTCCTGGGATTTTGACGATTATGTGAGATTTCAGGGGGTTTTTTTGGTGGGATTTTGGGGTTCTTTATAGGATTTTTGGGGGGGGGTTAATAGGATTTTTTGTTTTCTTTTTTTTGTGGTATTTGGGGCTTTTTTCCTGGGATTTTGGTGGTTTTTTGTGGGATTTAGGGGTTTTTTGAAGGATATTTTTTGGGGTTTTTTTGTGGTATTTGGGTTTTTTTCCCCTGGGATTTTTGGGTTTCTTAAGTTTGATTTTTGGGGGTTTTCTGGGATTTTGGGGGGTTTTTGTAGTTTTTTTTTTTAATAGGGTTTTATTGTTTTTTTGTGGTATTTGGGGTTTTTTTCCTGGTATTTGGCTTTTTTTGTGCGATTTTGGGGTTGTTTGTAGGATATTTTTGGGTTTTAATAGGATTTTTTGGGTTTTTTCCCTGGGATTTTGGGGTTTTTTTTGTGGGATTTTGCGGGGTTTTTTGTAGGATTTTTTTGCTTTTTGTGGCATTTGGGTTTTTTTTACTGGGATTTTGTTTTTTTGTGGGATTTTGGGTTTTTTTTCAGGGATTTTGTGGGGGTTTTTTGTAGGATTTTCTTGGGTTTTCTATAGGATTTTTTTTTTGCTTTTTGTGGAATTTTGGTTTTTTCATGGGATTTTCGGGTTTTTTAGTGGGATTTAGGGGTTCTTTGTAGGATTTTGAGGGTTTTGTGTGGAATTTTGGGGTTCTTTATAGGATTTTTGGGGTTTTTTAATAGATTTTTTTGGTTTTTGGTGGTATTTGGGGTTTTTTCCCTGGGATTTTGGGGGTTTTTTGTGAGATTTTCAGGGTTTTTTGTGGGATTTGGGGGTTCTTTATAGGATGTTTTGAGGTTTTTTATAGGATTTTTTGTTTTGTGGGATTTGGGGGTTTTTTTGTGGGATTTGGGGTTTTTTTGAGGGATATTTTTTGGGGTTTTGTGGTGTTTTGGTTTTTCCCCTGGGATTTTGGGCTTTTTTAAATTTGATTTTTGGGGTTTTCCTGGGATTTTTTTTTTTTTTTGGTAGGATTTTTTTTGGTTTTTTATAGGATTTGCGGTTTTTTGTGGTATTTGGGTTTTTTTTCTGATACTTGGGGTTTTTTTTGTTGGATTTAGGATTTCTTTGTAGGATATTTTTGGGTTTTTAATAGAATTTTTGGAGGGTTTTTTTTGTGGTATTTGGGGGTTTTTTTTCCCTGGGATTTTGGTTTTTTTTGGTGGGATTTTGGGATCCTTTATAGGATTTTTTGAGGTGTTTTATGCGATTTTTTTGTTTGGGTTTTTTTTTTGGGGGTATTTGGGGCTTTTTTTTCCTGGGATTTTGGCGTTTTTGGTGGGATTTTGGGGTTTTTTTTTGGTGGGATTTTGGGGTTCTTTGTAGGATTTTTTTGAGGTTTTTTTATAGGATTTTTGGGGGGGGTATTTGGGGCTTTTTTTCTGGAATTTTGGGGGTTTTTGTGGGATTTGGGGGCTTTTTGAAGGATATTTTTTGTTTATTTTTTTCTTTTGTGGTATTTCGGTTTTTTCCCCTGGGATTTTGGGCTTTCTTAAGTTTGATTTTTAAGGTTTTTCTGGGATTTTAGGGGTTTTTTGGTAGGATTTTTTTGGTTTTTTAATAGGATTTAATTGGTTTTTTGTGGTATTTGGGTTTTTTTTCCTGGTATTTGGCTTTTTTTGTGGGATTTTGGGGTTCTTTGTAGGATATTTTTTGGTTTTTAATAGGATTTTTTTGTTTTTTTCCTGGGATTTTGGGGTTTTTTTGTGTGATTTTTTTTGCTTTTTGTGGAATTTGGGTTTTTTTCCTGGGATTTTGGTTTTCTGTGGGATTTTGGGGTTTTTTTCGGGGATTTTGGGGGGTTTTTTTGTAGGATTTTTTGGGGTTTTCTATAGGATTTTTTTTTTTTGCTTTTTGTGGAATTTTGGGTTTTTTCCTGGGATTATCGGGTTTTTTGGTGGGATTTAGGGGTTCTTTGTAGGATTTTGCGGGTTTTGTGTGGAATTTTGGGGTTCTTTATAGCATTTTTGGGGTTTTTTAATAGGATTTTTTTTGGTTTTTGGTGGTATTTGGGGTTTTTCCCCTGGGATTTGGGGTTTTTTTGTGAGATTTTCGGGGTTTTTTGTGGGATTTGGGGGTTCTTTATAGGATGTTTTGAGGTTTTTTATAGGATTTTTTGTTTTGTGGGATTTGGGGGTTTTTTGAAGGACATTTTTTGGTTTTTTGTGGTGTTTGGGTTTTTTCCCCTGGGATTTTGGGCTTTTTTAGGTTTGATTTTTGGGGTTTTTCTGGGAATTGTTTTTTTTTTTGTAGGATTTTTTTTGGTTTTTTATAGGATTTGCGGTTTTTTGTGGTATTTGGGGTTTTTTTCTGATACTTGGGGTTTTTTTTGTTGGATTTTGGATTTCTTTGTAGGATATTTTTGGGTTTTTAATAGAATTTTTGGAGGGTTTTTTTTGTGGTATTTGGGGTTTTTTTTTCCCTGGGATTTTGGTTTTTTTTTGTGGGATTTTGGGATCCTTTATAGGATTTTTTGAGGTTTTTTATGCGATTTTTTGTTTGTTTTTTTTTTTTTTGGGGGGGTATTTGGGGCTTTTTTTTCCTGGGATTTTGGCGTTTTTGGTGGGATTTTGGGGTTCTTTGTAGGATTTTTTGAGGTTTTTTTATAGGATTTTTTTTGGGGGGGGTATTTGGGGCTTTTTTTCTGGGATTTTGGGGTTTTTTTGTGGGGTTTGGGGGCTTTTTGAAGGATTTTTTTGTTTATTTTTTCTTTTGTGGTATTTGGGGTTTTTTTCTCCTGGGATTTTGGGCTTTTTAAAGTTTGATTTTTGGGTTTTTTCTGGGATTTTGGGGGGCTTTGGTAGGATTTTTTTTGGTTTTTTTTATCGAATTTTTTGTTGTTTTTTTGGTGGTATTTAGGGTTTTTTTTCCTGATATTTGGGGTTTTTTTTTGTGGGATTTTGGGGTTCTTTGTAGGATATTTTTTGGTTTTTAATAGGATTTTTTGTTTTTTTTTCCTGGGATTTTGGGGTTTTTTTTGTGGGATTTTGCACGGTTTTTTGTAGGACTTTTTTGCTTTTTGTGGAATTTGGGTTTTTTTCCTGGGATTTTGTTTTTTTGTGGGATTTTGGGTTTTTTTCCGGGGATTTTGTGGGGGTTTTTTGTAGGATTTTCTTGGGTTTTCTATAGGATTTTTTTTTTTTGCTTTTTGTGGAATTTTGGGTTTTTTCCTGGGATTTTCGAGTTTTTTGGTGGGATTTAGGGGTTCTTTGTAGGATTTTGCTGGTTTTTGGGGCGATTTTGGGGTTCTTTGTAGGATATTTGGGGTTTTTAATAGGATTTTTTTTTTGTTTTGGTGGTATTTGGGGTTTTTTCCCTGGGATTTTGGGGGTTTTGTGTGGGATTTTGGTTTTTTCCCGGGATTTGGGTTTTTGTGGGGTTTTGTGGGACAGTGACAATGACACGTGACAAGGACACGTGACACTGACACCGGACACGTGACACTGACACCGGACACGTGACACTGACACCGGACACGTGACCCGCGCCCCGCACTTGGCGCCCCCTGGCGGATCCTCCCCCCCACTCCCGCCTCAAATCTCGCGAGAACTCGCGCGGCACGGCCGGGCTGAGGCGGAAGCGCCGCTCCGCCGCCATTGCTGCCTCCCTCCGGCCTCTGCCGCTCTCACCGGCACCGGAACCGCCACCGGAAGCGGCAGCGGAACCCGCACCGGCAGCGGGCCCGGCCCGCGGCGCCGCGGCCCCGCCATGGAGGCGAACGCGGCCAAGCGGAAGGAGCCGCGCAAGGCGCTGCGGGTTAAAGTCATCTCCATGGGCAACGCCGAGGTGGGCAAGGTGAGGCGCTGCTATTGGCCGGCGGGCGATGAGGGGCGGGCGGCGTGACCAATCAGTAGCGCTGGTGGGCGGGCACTTTGCTCTGATTGGCGCGACGTAACCAATCAGCTGCCGGCATCTCGTTGTTGTCGCTACGGGTGATTGATAGGCGGGTGGGCGGTGCCTCCGGGGAAGGCGCGGTTCTGATTGGTTGACAGCGAAGGGGGCGGGGCTTATCGCTGTTACGGGGCGCGGGCGGCATTCCCAAAAGTTGGAATTTTGGGGATTTGGCGGGAATCGGGGCGTTTTCCCGCCGCGCAGAGCTGCATCATCAAGCGGTACTGCGAGAAGAGGTTCGTGCCCAAGTACCTGGCCACCATCGGCATCGACTACGGCGTCACCAAGTGAGGGAACAGCGGGAATAACGGGAATAACGGGAATAACGGGATTATGGGAATAACGGGATAATGGGAATAATGGGAGTAATGGGATAATGGGAATGGTGAGAATAATGGCAGTAATGGGAGTAATGGGACAATGGGATTGTAAATACTGGGAATGCTGATAATGGGGATAATGGGAATGATGGGATAATGGGATAATGGGAATAATGGGAATAATAGGATTGAGTGTAATAGGAATAGTGGGAATAACGACAGGAATAATGGGAATGGCAGGAATGGGGGGAATAAGAGATTGGGAATAGTGGGGATAATAGGAATAATGGGAATAATGGGAATAGTGGGAATAATGGGATTGAGAATAACAGGAATAATGGAGATAATGGGCATAATGGGGATAATGGGAATGGTGGGAATAGTTGGGATAATGGGGATGATGGGGATAATGGGAATAATGGGGATAATGGGAATGATGGGAATGGGATTGGGAATTGTGGGGATAATGGGAATAGTGGGAACTGTGGGGATAATGGGAGTAATGGGATAATGGGAATGGTGAGAAAAATGGCAGTAATGGGAGTAATGGGACAATGGGATTGGGATTGGAAATACTGGGAATGCTGATAATGGGGATAATGGGAATGATGGGAATAATGGGAATAATAGGATTGAGTGTAATAGGAATAGTGGGAATAACGACAGGAATAATGGGAATGGCAGGAATGGGGGGAATAAGAGATTGGGAATAGTGGGGATAATGGGAATAGTGGGAATAGTGGGAATAATGGGATTGAGAATAAGAGGAATAATGGAGATAATGGGAATAATGGGGATAATGGGATAATGGGAATGGTGGGAATAGTTGGGATAATGGGGATGATGGGGATAATGGGAATAATGGGGATAATGGGAATGATGGGAATGGGATTGGGGATAATGGGGATAATGGGAATAGTGGGAATTGTGGGGATAATGAGAATAGTGGGATAATGGGAATTGTGGGAATTGTGGGGATAATGGGAGTAATGGGATAATGGGAATAATGGCAATAACGGAATTATGGGAATAATGGGATAATGGGAGTAATGGGATAATGGGAATGGTGAGAATAATGGCAGTAATGGGACAATGGGATTGGGATTGTAAATACTGGGAATGCTGATAATGGGGATAATGGGAATAATGGAAATAATGGGATAATGGGGATAATGGGAATAATAGGATTGAGTGTAATAGGAATAGTGGGAATAACGACAGGAATAACGGGAATGGCAGGAATGGTGGGAATAATGAGATTGGGAATAGTAGGAATAATGGGAATAATGGGATTGAGTGTAATAGGAATAGTGGGAATAACGACAGGAATAACGGGAATGGCAGGAATGGGGGGAATAAGAGATTGGGAATAGTGGGGATAATGGGAATAATGGGAATAGTGGGAATAGTGGGAATAATGGGATTGAGAATAACAGGAATAATGGAGATAATGGGAATAATGGGGATAATGGGATAATGGGAATGGTGGGAATAGTTGGGATAATGGGGATGATGGGGATAATGGGAATAATGGGGATAATGGGAATGGGATTGGGGATAATGGGGATAATGGGAATAGTGGGAATTGTGGGGATAATGAGAGTAATGGGATAATGGGAATTGTGGGGATAATGGGGATAATGGGAATGGTGGGGATAATTGGGATAATGGGAATGATGGGAATAATGGGAATGGGGATAATGAGGATAATGGGAGTAATGGGATAACGGGAATAGTGGGAATAATGGGGATACTGGGAATGGGGATAATGGGAATGGTGGGAATAGTGGGAATAATGGGGTTGATGGGGATAATGGGATAATGGGGATATTGGGAGTGATGGGAATAATGGGAATGATGGGATTGGGAACAACAGGAACAACGGGAATAATGGGGATAATGGGATAATGGTGGGGATAGTGGGAATAATGGGAATGGGATTGGAATGGAAATGGAACTGGGATTGGGATGGAATAGGAACGATGGGGATAATGGGAATGGTGGGGATAGTGGGAATACTGGGAATAGTGGGAATAACGGGATAGGGATTGGGATGGGAGCAGGAATGGGAATAATGGGGATAATGGGAATAATGGGATTGTGATGGGAAGAATGGGATTGGGATTGGGAAAATGGGAAAATGGGAATGGGATGAGAATAGGGATGGGGCAAATGAGATTAATGGGAATAATGGGAATGGATTGGGAATAATGGGAATGATGGGGTTAATGGGAATGATGGGAATGATGGGGTTAATGGGAATGATGGGGATAATGGGAATGGGGATAATGGGAATAGTGGGGATAATGAGGATAATGGGAGTAATGGGATAATGGGAATGGTGGGAATGTTGGAAATAATGAGAATAATGGAAAAGGGATGGGAATGGTGGGAATAGTGGGGATAACTGGGATAATGGGGATAATGGGAATGATAGGAATAATGGGATTGATGGGGATAATGGGATAATGGGGATATTGGGAGTGATGGGAATAATGGGAATGATGGGATTGGGAACAACAGGAATAATGGGGATAATGGGATAATGGTGGGGATATTGGGAACAGTGGATTTGGGATTGGGATGGAATAGGAATGATGGGAATGGTGGGGATAGCAGGAATACTGGGAATAGTGGGAATAACGGGGATAATGGGATAGGGATTGGGATGGGAGCAGGAATGGGAATAATGGGAATAGTGGGGATGATGGGAATAATGGGATTGCGATGGGAAGAATGGGAATGGGATTGGGAATAATGGGAATGGGATGAGAATAGGGATGGGGAAAATGGGAATGGGATTGGGAATAATGGGGTGGGATGGGAATAATGGGAATGGTGGGAATGGTGGGGTTAATGGGATTGGGATGGGGTGGGAATGATGGGGTTAATGGGAAGAATGGGGATGATGGGAATAGGAATGGGGTTGGGAATAATGGGAATGGGATGGGAATGATGGGGTTAATGGGAAGAATGGGGATGATGGGAATGGGAATAATGGGAATGGGGTTGGGAATAATGGGAATGGGAATGGGGTGACACGGGAATGGTGGGGATAAAGGGGATAATGGGATTGGGATTGGGATGAGAATAATGGGAATAATGAGGGGAATAATGGGGATAATGGGAATGATGGGAATAATGGGAATGATGGGGATAATGGGGAAATGGGATAATGGGGATAATGGGATTGGGATGGAATGGGAATGGGAATGGGGTTGGGAATAATGGGAATGGGATTGGGGTGACACGGGAATGGTGGGGATAAAGAGGATAATGGGATTGGGATTGGGATGAGAATAATGGGAATAATGAGGGGAATAATGATGGGGATAATGGGGAAATGGGATAATGGGGATAATGGGATTGGGATGGGAATGGGAATAACGGGAATGATGGGCAAGGCTGGGATTTCTCATGAGGAACGGGGGAGGAATGAGGATGGAATGATGGGATGGGATAATGGGATGGATGGGATAATGGGATGGATGGGATAATGGGATGGATGGGATTGATGGGATGGGGTAATGGGATGGATGGGATAATGGGATTGATGGGATGGATGGGATAATGGGATGGATGGGATACTGGGATGGATGGGATTGATGAGATAATGGGGTGAGGGGACACTGGGATTATGGGATTTATTGTTTAATGGGATTTATAGGATTACGGGATTTATGGGACAATGGTATCATGGGATTGATGGGATTATGAGATATTGGGATTTATGGGATTTATGGGATTATGAGATACTGGGATAATGGGATGGATGGGATGGGATTTATGGGATAATGGTATGATGAGATAATGGAATAATGGGATAATGGGATTTATGGGATAATGGGATGGGTGGGATAATGGGGTAATGGGATTTATGCAATTTATGGGATAATGAGATGATGAGATAATTGGATAATGGATTTATGCAATTTATGGGATAATGGGACAATGGGATAATGGGATAATGGGATGATGGGATAATGGGATGATGACATAATGGGATAACGGGATAATGGGATTTATGGGATAATGGGATGGGTGGGATAATGGGATAATGGGATTGATGCAATTTATGGGATAATAGGATGATGAGTTAATGGGATAATGGGATTTATGGGATAATGGGATTTCTGGGATAATGGGATTTATGGGATAATGGGATGATGGATTAATGGGATGGGACAAGCAGGAACAACCTCAGGTATTCCCAGAGGACTTTCCCTTGGAATTCAGGAACAATTCCCGCCAGCAGTTCCAAATCTTTGGGGAATTCCCGGAATTCCCAGGTTTTTTTTTTCCCAGAATTCCCAGAATTCCCACACCTTTTCCAGGGTGCAGATCCGGGACCGGGAGATCAAGGTGAACATCTTCGACATGGCCGGACACCCCTTCTTCTACGAGGTCAGAATTCCCAAAAATTCCCCCTGCAAAATCGGGAATTCTTCCTTTGGGCTCTTCCCTAAGGTTTTTTGGGTTTTTTTTCTTCCTGTTTTTTCCCCTGTATTTTTTTCCCTTAATTTTTCCCCTGCAATATTTTATTATGTTATGTTATATTATGTTATATTATATTATATTATATTATATTATATTATATTATGTTATGTTATGTTATGTTATGTTATATTATATTTTATTATATTATATTACATTACATTACATAACATTACATTACATTATATTACATTACATTATATTTTTAATATTATGTTACATTACATTGTATTCTTACATTACATAATGTTACATTAGTTATATTGTATTATATTACGTTATATTACGTTATATTTATTATGTTATATTATTGCATTACATTGATTATTTTATGTTATATTTTGCATTAGATTATATTTATTATAGTATATTAATTGCAGTACATTACACTGCATTACATTACATTACACTGTATTATGTTCATTACATTATTACATTATATTATATTATATTATATTATATTATTGCATAGCATTGCATTGCATTATATTGTATTATATAGTTATATGACATTATATTACATTGCATTCCATTACATTTGTTACATTACATTACCTTATGTTAATTATATTAATTACACTACATTACACTGCCTATGTTAGATTAGAATATATATTGTACTATATTACATTATATTACATTATATTATCTTATATGATATTATATTTTATTACATTACATCACATTACATTATATATTTTATATTATGTTACATTACATTGTATTCTTACATTACATAATGTTACATTAGTTATATTGTATTATATTATGTTATATTATATTACGTTATATTTATTATGTTATATTATTGCATTACATTGATTATTTTGTTATATTTTGTATTAGATTATATTTATTATAGTATATTAATTGCATTACATTACACTGCATTACCTGACATTATACAATATTATGTTCATTACATTATTATATTATATTATTTTGGTTTATATTATATTATATTATATTATATTATATTATATTATATTATATTATATTATTGCATTGCATTGCATTATATTGCATTATATATTTATATTACATTATATTACATTGCATTACATTACATTATATTACACTACATTCTATTTTTTGTATTATGTTACATTACATTGTATTCTTACATTACATAATGTTACATTAGTTATATTACATTATATTACGTTATATTTATTATGTTATATTATTGCATTACATTGATAATTTTGTTATATTTTACATTAGATTATATTTATTATAGTATATTAATTGCATTACATTACACTGCATTACATTACATTATACTATATTATGTTCATTACATTATTATATTATATTATATTATGTTATATTATATTATATTATATTATATTATATTATTGCATTGCATTGCATTGCATTGCATTGCATTATATTGTATTATATATTTATATTACATTGTATTGCATTGCATTCCATGACATTTGTTACATTACATTATGTTATGTTAATTATATTAATTGCACTACATTACACTGCCTATGTTAGATTAGATTAGAATATCTATTTTATTATATATTATATTATATTACATTACATTACATTACATTACATTACGTTATATTATTGCATAGCATTATATTGTATTATATTGTATTATATAGTTATATTATATTATACTATACTATATTATATTATATTACATTTCATTACATAATGTTACACTAGTTATATTATATTACATTATATTAATTATGTTATATTATTGCATTACATTGATTATTTTATTTTATATTTTGCATTATATTATATTTATTATAGTATAGTAATTGCATTACAGTACACTGTATTACATTACATTAGATTATACTGTATTATGTTCATTACATTATTATATTATATTATATTATATTATATTATATTATATTATATTATATTATATTATATATTATATTATATTATTGCATACCATTACATTACATTGTATTACATTACATTACATTACATTATATATTTTATATTATGTTACATTACATTGTATTCTTACATTACATAATGTTACATTAGTTATATTATATTATATTTATTATATTATATTACTGCATAGCATGACATTGCATCATATTGTATTATTTAGTTATATTACATTATACTATGTTACATCACATTGCATTACATTATATTATATTATATTACACTATATTACATTATATTGCATTGCATTACATTACATTTGTTACATTACATTATGTTATGTTAATTATATTAATTACACTACATTACCCTGCCTATGTTATATTAGATTAGAATATATATTATATTATTATATTATATTATATTATATTATATTGTATTATATTATATTATATTATATTACATTATATTATATTATATTACATTATATTATATTATATTATATTTTATCATATTATATTACATTACATTACATTACATTACATTATATTTTACTATATTACATTATAGTATATTACATTACATTACATTATATTACATTATATTATACTGTATTACATTATATTGCATTGCATTACATTACATTACGTTATGTTAATTATATTAATTACACTACATTACCCTGCCTATGTTAGATTAGAATATATATTATATTATATTTATTACATTACCTTACATTACATTACACTACATTATATTATATTATATTACATGACATGACATGACATGACATGACATGACATGACATTACATTACATTATATTATATTATATTATATTATTTTATATTATATTGCATTGCATTGCATTGCATTTGTTACATTACATTACATTATGTTAATTATATTAATTACACTACATTACACTGCCTATATTAGATTAGAATATATATTATATTATATTTATTACATTACCTTACATTACATTACACTACATTATATTATATTATATTATACTATACTCTATTAGATTGCATTGCATTACATTACAGTATACTATATTATGTTCACTACATTATTTTATTTTATTTTATTTTATTTCATTTTATTTTATTTTATTTTATTTTATTTTATTTTATTTTACTTTATTTTACTTTATGTTATTATATTTCATTACAAAACAACATTTCCCAGCTTCCCCCTTCCCTGCTTTTCCCCATTCCCTGTCCCCTTCCCCACACATTTTGGGGGGGCGCTGCCAATTCCCATTTTTCCCCTGGAATATTTTCCCATGGAATATTTTTCCCCTGGAATATTTCCCGCCCCCGGGGGCGCTCCCCAGGTGCGTAACGAGTTCTACAAGGACACGCAGGGGGTGCTGCTGGTCTACGACGTGGGCTCCAAGGAATCCTTCGAGGCGCTCGACTCCTGGCTGGCCGAGATGCGCCGCGAGCTGGGGCCGCACGCCAGCCTCGACAGCGTCGTCTTCGCCGTCTGCGCCAACAAGGTGCGGCGTTATCCACGGGAATTACGGGAATTCTGGGAATCCTGGGAATTCTGGGAATTCTGGGGCCTGTTCCTGGGGGTTTTGTTCTTGATTGGATCCCCTGGGATGGAAATTCTGCGAATTCCGGAGCTGTTCCTGGGATTTGTTCCCAACTGGATCCAGCGGGATTGAAATTCTGGAGATTCCAAAGCCATTCCCAGAGTTTGTTCCTGATTGGAACCCCCAGGATGGGAATTGTGGGAATTCTGGGCATTCCAGAGCCATTCCCGGGGTTTGTTCCAGGCTGGGGCCCCACGCCAGCCTCGACAGCGTCGTCTTCGCCGTCTGCGCCAACAAGGTGCGGGGTTATCCAATGGGAATTCTGGGAATTCTGGGAATTCTGGGGGTTCTGGGGCTGTTCTGGGGGTTCCTGGTCCTGACTGGATCCTGTGGGATGGGAATTCTGGGCATTCCAGGCTGGGGCCGCACGCCAGCCTCGACAGCATCGTCTGCGCCGTCTGAGCCAACAAGGTGCGGGGTTATCCAAGGGAATTCTGGGAATTCTGGGAATTCTGGGGTTCCTGGTCCAGATTGGATCCTGTGGGATGGGAATTCTGGGGATTCCAGAGCCATTCCAGGCTGGGGCCCCACGCCAGCCTCGACAGCGTCGTCTTCACCGTCTGCGCCAACAAGGTGCGGGGTTATCCACGGGAATTCTGGGAATTCTGGGAATTTCTGGGAATTCTGGGCATTCCAGGCTGGGGCCGCACGCCAGCCTCGACAGCGTCGTCTGCGCCAACAAGGTGCGGGGTTATCCATGGGAATTATGGGAATTTCCAGAAAATCTGGGAATTCTGGGGCTGTTCTGGGGTTCCTGGTCCAGATTGGATCCTGTGGGATGGGAATTGAGGGAATTTCAGGAATTCTGGAGCCGTTCCCGGGGTTTGTTCCCAACTGAATCTACCAGGATGGAAATTCTGGAGATTCCAGAGCCGTTCCCAGGGTTTGTTCCCAAGTGGATCCCCCAGGATGGAAATTCTGGGAATATTCTGGAGATTCCAGAGCCATTCCTGGGCTTTGTTCCCGACTGGATCTACCAGGATGGAATTTCTGGGAATTCTGGAGCCATTCCCGGGGTTTGGTCCAGATTGGATCCTGTGGGATGGGAATTGTGGGGATTCTGGAGATTCCAGAGCCATTCCCAGGGTTTGTTCCCAACCAGATCCAGTGGGATGGAAATTCTGGAGATTCCAGAGCCATTCCCGGGGTTTCTTCCTGATTGGATCCACCAGGATGGGAATTCTGGGGATTCTGGAGCCATTCCCGGGGTTTGGTCCTGACTGGATCCTGTGGGGTGGGAATTGTGGGAATATTCTGGGGAATCCAGAGCCATTCCTGGGGTTTGTTCCAGGCTGGGGCCCCACGCCAGCCTCGACAGCGTCGTCTGCGCCGTCTGCGCCAACAAGGTGCGGGGTTATCCAAGGGGATTACGGGAAATCTGGGAATTCTGGGAATTCTGGGGCCTGTTCCTGAGGGTTTTGTTCTTGATTGGATCCTGTGGGATGGAAATTCTGGGGATTCTGGGCATTCCAGGCTGGGGCCCCACGCCAGCCTCGACAGCGTCGTCTGCGCCGTCTGCGCCAACAAGGTGCGGGGTTATCCATGGGAATTATGGGAATTTCTGGGAATTCTGGGGGTTCCTGATCCTCATTGGATCCTGTGGGATGGAAATTCTGGGAATTCTGGGGGTTCTGGGGCTGTTCTGGGGTTCCTGATCCAGACTGGATCCTGTGGGATGGGAATTGTGGGAATTCTGGGCATTCCAGGCTGGGGCCCCACGCCAGCCTCGACAGCGTCGTCTGCGCCGTCTGCGCCAACAAGGTGCGGGGTTATCCACGGGAATTATGGGAATTTCTGGGAATTCTGGGGGTTCCTGATCCTGACTGGATCCTGTGGGATGGGAATATTCTGGGAATTCCAGAGCCCTTCCAGGCTGGGGCCCCACGCCAGCCTCGACAGCGTCGTCTGCGCCAACAAGGTGCGGGGTTATCCAATGGGAATTATGGGAATTTCTGGGAATTCTGGGGGTTCTGGGGCTGTTCTGGGGTTCCTGGTCCTGATTGGATCCTGTGGGATGGAAATATTCTGGGGATTCCAGGCTGGGGCCGCACGCCAGCCTCGACAGCGTCGTCTTCGCCGTCTGCGCCAACAAGGTCTGGGGTTATCCATGGGAATTCCGGGAATATCCACAAAATCTGGGAATTCTGGGGCTGTTCTGGGGTTCCTGATCCTGATTGGATCCTGTGGGATGGGAATTGTGGGGATTCTGGGGATTCCAGAGCCATTCCCGGGGTTTGTTCCAGGCTGGGGCCCGCTCCACGCCAGCCTCGACAGCGCCGTCTGCGCCAACAAGGTGCGGGGTTATCCACCGGAATTATAGGAATTCTGGGAATTCTGGGGGTTCCTGGTCCTGATTGGATCCTGTGGGATGGGAATTGTGGGAATATTCTGGGAATTCCAGAGCCGTTCCCAGGGTTTGTTCCAGGCTGGGGCCGCACGCCAGCCTCGACAGCGTCGTCTTCGCCGTCTGCGCCAACAAGGTGCGGGGTTATCCAACGGGAATTCTGGGAATTCTGGGAATTCTGGGGGTTCCTGATCCTCATTGGATCCTGTGGGATGGAAATTCTGGGAATTCTGGGGGTTCTGGGGGTTCTGGGGGCTCCTGATCCTGATTGGATCCTGTGGGATGGGAATATTCTGGGCATTCCAGGCTGGGGCCCCACGCCAGCCTCGACAGCGTCGTCTTCGCCGTCTGCGCCAACAAGGTGCGGGGTTATCCAACGGGAATTACGGGAATTACGGGAATTCTGGGGGTTCCTGATCCTGATTGGATCCTGTGGGATGGGGATTGTGGGAATTTCAGGAATTCTGGAGCCGTTCCTGGACTTTGTTCCCAACTGGATCTACCAGGATGGAAATTCTGGAGATTCCAGAGCCATTCCCGGGGTTTGTTCACAGCTGGATCCTCCAGAATGGAAATTCTGGGAATATTCTGGAGATTCCAGAGCCATTCCCGGGCTTCGTTCCTGATTGGATCCACCAGGATGGGAATTCTGGGAATTCTGGAGCCATTCCCGGGGTTTGGTCCTGACTGGATCCTGTGGGATGGGAATTCTGGGAATTTCGGGAATTCTGGAGCCGTTCCTGGGCTTTGTTCCCAACTGGATCTACCAGGATGGAAATTCTGGAGGTTCCTGATTGGATCCACCGGGATGGGAATTCTGGAGAGATTCATGGGGGTTTTGTTCCTGACTGGATCCTGTGGGATGGGAATTCTGGGAATTCTGGAGCCATTCCCGGGGTTTGTTCCTGATTGGATCCTGTGGGATTGAAATTGTGGGAATTTCGGGAATTCTGGGGGCTCCTGATCCTGATTGGATCCTGTGGGATGGGAATTGTGGGAATTCTGGGCATTCCAGGCTGGGGCCCCACGCCAGCCTCGACAGCGTCGTCTTCGCCGTCTGCGCCAACAAGGTGCGGGGGCATCCAACGGGAATTACGGGAATTCTGGGAATTCTGGGGGCTCCTGATCCAGATTGGATCCTGTGGGATGGGAATTGTGGGAATTCTGGGGATTCCAGGCTGGGGCCCCACGCCAGCCTTGACAGCGTCGTCTTCGCCGTCTGCGCCAACAAGGTGCGGGGGCATCCATGGGAATTATGGGAATTCTGGGAATTCTGGGAATTCTGGGGCTGTTCTGGGGCTGTTCTGGGGTTCCTGGTCCTGATTGGATCCTGTGGGATGGGAATATTCTGGGCATTCCAGGCTGGGGCCGCACGCCAGCCTCGACAGCGTCATCTGCGCCGTCTGCGCCAACAAGGTCCGGGGTTATCCACGGGAATTCTGGGAATTCTGGGAATTCTGGGAATTCTGGGGGTTCCTGATCCTTATTGGATCCTGTGGGATGGGAATTCTGGGGAATCCAGAGCCATTCCCGGGGTTTGTTCCAGGCTGGGGCCCACTCCACGCCAGCCTCGACAGCGTCGTCTGCGCTGTCTGCGCCAACAAGGTGCGGGGTTATCCATGGGAATTATAGGAATTTCTGGGAATTCTGGGAATTCTGGGGGTTCCTGATCCAGATTGGATCCTGTGGGATGGGGATTCTGGGGATTCCAGAGCATTCCCAGGGTTTGTTCCAGGCTGGGGCCGCACGCCAGCCTCGACAGCGTCATCTGTGCCAACAAGGTGCGGGGATTATCCAACGGGAATTATGGGAATACCCAGAAAATCTGGGAATTCTGGGGGTTCCTGATCCTGATTCCGGAGCCGTTCCTGGGCTTTGTTCCCAACTGGATCGAAATTCTGGGGATTCCAGAGCCATTCCCAAAGTTTGTTCCCAGCTGGATCCTCCAGGATGGAAATCCCAGGAATTCTGGAGATTCCAAGAATCCAGAGCCATTCCCAGAGTGTTTTCCAGGCTGGATCCTGCAGGATGGGAATTCTGGGAATTCTGGAGCCATTCCTGGGCTTTGTTCCAGATTGGATCCTGTGGGATTGGAATTCTGGGAATTCTGGAGATTCCAGAGCCATTCCTGGGCTTTGTTCCCAACTGGATCCCCCAGGATGGAAATTCTGGGAATATTCTGGAGATTCCAGGGCCGTTCCCAGGGTTCGTTCCTGGCTGGATCCACCAGGATGGAAATTCTGGGAATTCTGGAGCTGTTCCTGGGCTTTGTTCCTGATTGGATCCTGTGGGATGGAGATTCCAGAGCCATTCCCAGGGTTTGTTCCCAACTGGATCTACCAGGATGGGAATTTCTGGGAATTCTGGAGCCATTCCCGGGGTTTGTTCCTCATTGGATCCTGTGGGATGGGAATTCTGGGAATATTCTGGGGATTCTGGAGAGATTCACGGGGGTTTTGTTCCTGACTGGATCTTGTGAGATTGAAATTCTGGGAATTGTGGGAATTCTGGGGATTCCAGAGCCATTCCCGGGGTTTGTTCCTGATTGGATCCTCCAGGATGGAAATTCCCAATTTTCCAGGTGTTTGTTCCAAGGTGGACGCAGGGAAGCTGCCGGTGTTTAGTCCCAATTTTCCAGATGTTTATTCCAAATTTTCCAGGTGTTTATTCCCAGTTTTTCTGGGTATTTATTCCCAGGTGGATGTGGGGAAGCTGCGGGTGTTTATTCCCAATTTTCCAGATGTTTATTCCCAGTTTTTCTGGGTGTTTATTCCCAGTTTTTCTGGGTGTTTATTCCCAGGTGGATGTGGGGAAGCTGCGGGTGTTTATTCCCGATTTTCCAGGTGTTTATTCCCAGTTTTCCAGTTGTTTATTCTGGGTGTTCATGTTCCCAGGTGGATGTGGGGAAGCTGCAGGTGTTTATGCCCAATTTTCCGGGTGTTTATTCCTGGTGTTTATTCCCACTTTTCCTAGTGTTTATTCCCAATTTTCCAGATGTTTATTCCCAGTTTTCCCGGTGTTTATTCCCGTTTTTTCCGGGTGTTTATTCCCAGGTGGATGCGGGGAAGCTGCGGGTGTTCATTCCCGGTGTTCATTCCCATTTTCCCGTTGTTGTTCATTCCCAGGTGGACGTGGGGAAGCTGCGGGTGTTCATTCCCATTTTTCCCGGTTTCATTCCCATTTTTCCCGTTGTTCATTCCCATTTTTCCCTGTGTTTGTTCCATTCCCAGGTGGACGCAGGGAAGCTGCGGGTGTTCATTCCCATTTTTCCCGGTGTTCATTCCCGGTGTTCATTCCCGGTGTTCATTCCCGGTGTTCATTCCCATTTTCCCGTTGTTGTTCATTCCCAGGTGGACGCGGGGAAGCTGTGGATGTTCATTCCCATTTTTCCCGGTTTCATTCCCATTTTTCCCGTTGTTCATTCCCATTTTCCCTGTGTTTGTTCCATTCCCAGGTGGACGCGGGGAAGCTGCGGGTGTTTATTCCCGGTGTTCATTCCGGTTGTTTATTCCCGTTGTTTATTCCCAGGTGGACGCGGGCAAACTGTGGGTGTTCATTCCCGGTGTTCATTCCCGGTGTTCATTCCCGGTGTTCATTCCCATTTTTCCCGTTGTTGTTCCATTCCCAGGTGGACGCGGGGAAGCTGCGGGTGTTCATTCCCGTTTTTCCGGGTGTTTATTCCCGATTTTCCAGGTGTTTATTCCCGGTGTTCATGTTCCCAGGTGGACGCGGGGAAGCTGCGGGTGTTCATTCCCATTTTTCCGGGTGTTCATTCCCATTTTTCCGGGTGTTCATTCCCATTTTCCGTGTTCATGTTCCCAGGTGGACGCGGGGAAGCTGCGGGTGTTCATTCCCGGTGTTCATTCCCATTTTTCCCGGGTGTTCATTCCCATTTTTCCCGGGTGTTCATTCCCATTTTTCCCCGTGTTCATTCCCATTTTTCCCCGTGTTCATTCCCATTTTCCCGGTGTTCATTCCCATTTTCCGTGTGTTTGTTCCATTGTTTCCCAGGTGGACGCGGGGAAGCTGCGGGTGTTCATTCCCATTTTTCCGGGTGTTTATTCCCGATTTTCCAGGTGTTTATTCCCATTGTTCGTTGGTTCTCAGGTGGACGCGGGGAAGCTGCGGGTGTTCATTCCCGGTGTTCATTCCCATTTTTCCTGGTGTTCATTCCCATTTTCCCAGTGTTGTTCCGTTGTTTCCCAGGTGGACGCGGGGAAGCTGCGGGTGTTCATTCCCAGTGTTCATTCCCATTTTTCCCGGTGTTTATTCCCATTTTTCCGGGTGTCCGTTCATTGTTTTCCACGTGGACGCGGGGAAGCCGCGGGTGTTCATTCCTGGTGTTCATTCCCGGTGTTCATTCCCATTTTCCCGGTGTTGTTTCCCAGGTGGACGCGGAGAAGCTGTGGGTGTTTATTCCCAATTTTCCCGGTGTTTATTCCCGGATTTCCAGGTGTTTATTCCCAGTATTCCTGGTGTTCATTCCCAGTGTTCATTCCCAGGTGGATGCAGGGAAGCTGCGGGTGTTCATTCCCGGTGTTCATTTCCATTTTTCCGGGTGTTCATTCCCATTTTCCGTGTGTTTGTTCCCAGGTGGACGCGGGGAAGCTGCGGGTGTTCATTCCCATTTTTCCAGGTGTTCATTCCCATTTTCCGGGTGTTCATTCCCATTTTCCCGTGTGTTTGTTCCATTGTTTCCCAGGTGGACGCGGGGAAGCTGCGGGTGTTCATTCCCATTTTTCCAGGTGTTTATTCCCAGTTTTCTGTGTGTTTTTTCCTGTTGTTCATTCCCAGGTGGACGCGGGGAAGCTGCGGGTGGTGGACGAGAGCGAGGGGCGGCTCTGGGCCGAGAGCCGCGGGTTCCTCTACTGGGAAACCTCGGCACAGAGCGGGGAGGGCATCCAGGAGATGTTCCAGGTGGGAATTCCGGATTCCGGGAATTGTTCCAGGTGGGAATTCCGGGAATTGTCCCCCGGGTGGGAATTCCGAACTCCGGGAATTGTTCCAGGTGGGAATTCTGGGAATTGTCCCCCGGGTGGGAATTCCGGGAATTGTTCCAGGTGGGAATCCCGGGAATTGTCCCCTGGGTGGGAATTCCGGGAATTGTCCCCTGGGTGGGAATTCCGAACTCCGGGTGGGAATTGTCCCGGGTGGGAGTTCTGGGAGTTGTTCTGGGAATTCCGGGATTTGTTCCAGGTGGGAAGGAACTCTGGGTGGGAATTCTCTTCCGGGTGGGAATTCTGGGAATTGTTTCGAGTGGGAATTCTGGGTGGGAGTGTGGGATCAGGGCCAGGTGGGAATCATCGGGAGATGTTCCTGATGGGAATTCCGGGAATTGTTCCAGGTGGAAAGGAACTCTGGGTGGGAATTGTCCCGGGTGGGAACTCTGGGAGTTGTTCCAGGAGGGAATCCCGGGTGGGAATTCTGAGATCAGGGCCCAGGTGGGAATTCCGGGAATTGTTCCAGGTGGGAATTCCGGGAATTGTCCCCCGGGTGGGAATTCCGAACTCCGGGTGGGAATTGTTCTGGGTGGGAATTCTGGGAATTGTTCTGGGAATTCTGGGATTTGTTCCAGGTGGGAACTCCGGGAATTCTCCTGGGTGGGAGTGTGAGATCAGGGCCGGGTGGGAATGATCAGGAGATGTTCCAGGTGGGGATTCCAGGTGGGAATTCTGGGAATTGTTCCAGGTGGGAAGGAACTCCGGGTGAGAATTGTCCCGGGTGGGAATTCTGGGAATTGTTCTGGGAATTCCAGGAATTGTCCTGGGTGGGAATTCTGGGAGTTGTTCCAGGAGGGAATCCCGGGTGGGAATTCTGGGATCAGGGCCCGGGTGGGAATGATTGGGAGATGTTCCAGGTGGGAATTCTGGGAATTGTTCCGGGAATTCAGGGAATGGTTCCAGGTGGGAATTCTGGGAGATGTTCCTGGTGGGAATTCCGAGAGATGTTCCAGGTGGGAATTCCAAACTCCGGGTGGGAATTGTCCCGGGTGGGAACTCTGGGAATTGTTCTGGGAATTCTGGGATTTGTTCCAGGTGGGAATTCCGGGAATTGTTCCAGGTGGGAAGGAACTCCGGGAATTGGCCCGGGAATTCTCTCCCGGGTGGCAACTCGGGGAATTGTTCTGGGTGGGGAATTCTGGGAGTTGTTCCAGGTGGGAATTCTGGGAATTCTGGGTGGGAATTCTGGATGGGAATTCTGGGAGATGTTCCAGGTGGGAATGATCCAGGAGATGTTCCAGGTGGGAATGAACTGCGGGTGGGAATTTTCCCGGGTGGGAACTACGGGAAATGTCCCAGGTGGGAATTCTGGGAATTTTCCTGGGTGGGAATTCTGGGAATTGTTCCAGGTGGGAATGGGATCCGGGATTTTCCTGGGAATGGGATCCAGGATTGTTGGGATTGGAGGGCTGGGAGTTGGATCCAGGATTTTCTTGGAAAAGGGCTGGGAATTGGATCTGGGGTTGTTGTGATCACCCTGGGAAGGGTTTTGGATTTGGATCCGGGATTTTCCTGGGAAAAGGCTGGGAATGGGATCTGAGGTTGTTGGGAATGTGCTGGGGAATGCTGGGATTTGGATCCAGGATTTTCCTGGGAAGGGGCTGGGAATTGGATCTGGGAATTTTCTGGGAAAGGTTTGGGAATTGGGTCTGGGATTTTTGGGATTATCCTGGGAATTGGATCCAGGATTTTTGGGATTGCCCTGGGAAGGAGCTGGGAATTGGATCCGGGATTGTCCTGGGAAAGAGCTGGGAATGGGATCTGGGATTGTTGGGAGTGAAGGGCTGGGAATGGGATCTGGGATTTCCTTGGAAAAGTTTGGGAATTAAATCTGGGATTGTTGGGAGTGAAGGGCTGGGAATGGGATCTGGGATTTTCCTGGGAGAAATTTGGGAATTGGATCTGGGATTGTTGGGATCGCCCTGGGATGGGTTTGGAAATGGGATCTGGGATTGTTGGGATTGAAGGGCTGGGAATGGGATTTGGGATTTTCATGGGAAAAAATCTGGGAATTGGATCTGGGATTGTTGGGATTGGAGGGCTGGGAATGGGATTTGGGATTTTCATGGGAAAGGGCTGGGAATGGGATCTGGGATTGTTGGGATTGGCCCATCCAGGTCTGGGATTTGGATCCGGGATTGTCCTGGGAAGGGTTTGGGAATGGGATCTGGGATCATCCTGGGATCATCCCGGGAATGGGATCTGGGATTGTTGGGATTGAAGGGCTGGGAATGGGATTTGGGATTTTCATGGGAAAAGTTTGGGAATTGGATCTGGGATTGTTGGGATTGGAGGGCTGGGAATGGGATCTGGGATTGTTGGGATTGGCCCATCCGGGTCTGGGATTTGGATCCAGGATTTTCTTGGGAAAAGGCTGGGAATGGGATCTGAGGTTATTGGGAATGTGCTGGGGAATGCTGGGATTTGGATCCAGGATTTTCCTGGGAAGGGGCTGGGAATTGGATCTGGGAATTTTCTGGGAAAGGTTTGGGAATTGGGTGTGGGATTTTTGGGCTTGTCCTGGGAATTGGATCCGGGATTTTTGGGATTGCCCTGGGAAGGAGCTGGATCTTGGATCCGGGATTGTCCTGGGAAAGAGCTGGGAATGGGATCTGGGGTTGTTGGGATTGAAGAGCTGGGAGCTGGATCTGGGATTTCCTTGGAAAAGTTTGGGAATTAAATCTGGGATTGTTGGGATTGAAGGGCTGGGAATGGGATCTGGGATTTTCATGGGAAAAAAATCTGGGAATGGGATCTGGGATTGTTGGGATTGTCCCATCAAGGTTTGGGATTTGGATCCGGGATTTTCTTGGGAAAAGGCTGGGAATGGGATCTGAGGTTATTGGGAATGTGCTGGGGAATGCTGGGATTTGGATCCAGGATTTCCCTGGGAAAGGGCTGGGAATTGGGTCTGGGATTTTCCTGGGAAAGGGCTGGGAATTGGGTCTGGGATTTTTGGGATTATCCTGGGAATTGGATCCAGGATTTTTGGGATTGCCCTGGGAAGGGTTTGGGAATTGGATCTGGGATTGTCCTGGGATCATCCCGGGAATGGGATCTGGGATTGTTGGGATTGAAGGGCTGGGAACGGGATCTGGGATTTTCATGGGAAAAGTTTGGGAATGGGATCTGGGATTGTTGGGATTGGCCCATCAAGGTTTGGGAATTGGATCCAGGATTTTCTTGGGAAAGGGCTCGGAACTGGATCCGGGATTTTTCTGGGAAAGGTTTGGGAATTGGGTCTGGGATTTTCCTGGGAAAGGTTTGGGAATTGGGTGTGGGATTGTCCTGGGAAAGGTTTGGGAATTGGGTCTGGGATTTTTGGGATTATCCTGGGAATTGGATCCAGGATTTTTGGGATTGCCCTGGGAAGGAGCTGGATCTTGGATCCGGGATTGTCCTGGGAAAGAGCTGGGAATGGGATCTGGGGTTGTTGGGATTGAAGAGCTGGGAATGGGATCTGGGATTTTCATGGGAAAAGTTTGGGAATTAAATCTGGGATTGTTGGGATTGGAGGGCTGGGAATGGGACCTGGGATTTTCCTGGGAAAAGTTTGGGAATGGGATCTGGGATTGTTGGGAATGTCCTGTGGGAATTGGATCTGGGATTGTCCTGGGAATTGGATCTGGGGTTGTTGGGATTGTCCCATCAAGGTCTGGGATTTGGATCTGGGATTGTCCTGGGAAAAATCTGGGAATTGGATCCGGGATTGTTGGGATTGGAGGGCTGGGAATGGGATTTGGGATTTTCATGGGAAAAAAAATCTGGGAATTGGATCTGGGATTATTGGGATTGTCCCATCAAGGTTTGGGATTTGGATCTGGGATTGTCCTGGGAAAAATCTGGGAATTGGATCTGGGATTGTTGGATTGAAGGGCTGGGAATGGGATTTGGGATTTTCATGGGAAAAGTCTGGGAATTGGATCTGGGATTGTTGGGATTGTCCCATCCGGGTCTGGGATTTGGATCCAGGATTGTCCTGGGAAAAATTTGGGAATTAAATCTGGGATTATTGGGAGTGAAGGGCTGGGAATGGGATCTGGGATTTTCATGGGAAAAGTTTGGGAATTGGATCTGGGATTGTTGGGATTGGCCCATCAAGGTTTGGGATTTGGATCCGGGATTTTCTTGGGAAAAGTTTGGGAATTGGATCTGGGATTGTTGGGATCGCCCTGGGATGGGTTTGGAAATGGGATCTGGGATTGTTGGGAGTGAAGGGCTGGGAATGGGATCTGGGATTTTCATGGGAAAAGTTTGGGAATTGGATCTGGGATTGTTGGGATTGGCCCATCCGGGTCTGGGATTTGGATCCGGGATTGTCCTGGGAAAAATTCGGGAATTGGATCCGGGATTGTCCTGGGAAGGGTTTGGGAATGGGATCTGGGATCATCCTGGGATCATCCCGGGAATGGGATCTGGGATTGTTGGGATTGAAGGGCTGGGAATGGGATTTGGGATTTTCATGGGAAAAGTTTGGGAATTGGATCTGGGATTGTTGGGATGGGCCCGTCAAGGTCTGGGATTTGGATCCGGGATTGTCCTGGGAAAGGGCTCAGAACTGGATCTGGGATTTTTCTGGGAAAGGTTTGGGAATTGGGTCTGGGATTTTTGGGATTATCCCGGGAATTGGATCCAGGATTTTTGGGATTGCCCTGGGAAGGAGCTGGATCTTGGATCCGGGATTGTCCTGGGAAAGAGCTGGGAATTGGATCTGGGGTTGTTGGGATTGGAGGGCTGGGAATGGGATTTGGGATTTTCCTGGAAAAAGTTTGGGAATTAAATCTGGGATTGTTGGGAGTGAAGGGCTGGGAATGGGATTTGGGATTTTCATGGGAAAAAATCTGGGAATTGGATCTGGGATTATTGGGATTGTCCCATCAAGGTTTGGGATTTGGATCTGGGATTGTCCTGGGAAAAATTCGGGAATTGGATCTGGGATTGTTGGGATTGGAGGGCTGGGAATGGGATTTGGGATTTTCATGGGAAAGGGCTGGGAATGGGATCTGGGATTGTTGGGATTGTCCCATCCGGGTCTGGGATTTGGATCCGGGATTGTCCTGGGAAGGGTTTGGGAATGGGATCTGGGATCATCCTGGGATCATCCTGGGAATTGGATCCGGGATTGTTGGGATTGAAGGGCTGGGAATGGGACCTGGGATTTTCATGGGAAAAGTTTGGGAATTGGATCTGGGATTGTTGGGATTGGCCCATCAAGGTCTGGGATTTGGATCCGGGATTGTCCTGGGATCATCCCGGGAATGGGATCTGGGATTGTTGGGATTGTCCCATCAAGGTTTGGGATTTGGATCTGGGATTTTCCTGGGAAAAATTCGGGAATGCGATCTGGGATTGCCCTGGGAAGGGTTTGGGAATGGGATCTGGGATCATCCTGGGATCATCCCGGGAATGGGATCTGGGATTGTTGGATTGAAGGGCTGGGAATGGGATTTGGGATTTTCATGGGAGAAGTTTGGGAATGGGATCTGGGATTGTTGGGATGGGCCCGTCAAGGTCTGGGATTTGGATCCAGGATTTTCCTGGGAAAAGTTTGGGAATTGGATCTGGGATTGTCCTGGGAAGGGTTTGGGAATGGGATCTGGGATCATCCTGGGAAAAGTTTGGGAATTGGATCCGGGATTGTTGGGATTGGAGGGCTGGGAATGGGACCTGGGATTTTCATGGGAAAAAAATCTGGGAATTGGATCTGGGATTTTTGGGATTGGCCCATCAAGGTTTGGGATTTGGATCCGGGATTTTCCTGGGAAAGGTTTGGGAATGGGATCTGGGATTTCCCTGGGAAAGGTTTGGGAATTGGGTGTGGGATTTTTGGGATTATCCTGGGAATTGGATCCAGGATTTTTGGGATTGCCCTGGGAAGGAGCTGGGAATTGGATCCGGGATTGTCCTGGGAATTGGATCTGGGATTGTTGGGATTGAAGAGCTGGGAGCTGGATCTGGGATTTCCTTGGAAAAGTTTGGGAATTAAATCTGGGATTGTTGGGAGTGAAGGGCTGGGAATGGGATCTGGGATTTTCCTGGCAGAAATTTGGGAATGGGATCTGGGATTATTGGGATTGTCCCATCAAGGTTTGGGATTTGGATCTGGGATTGTCCTGGGAAAAATTCGGGAATTGGATCCGGGATTGTTGGGATTGAAGGGCTGGGAATGGGATTTGGGATTTTCATGGGAGAAGTTTGGGAATGGGATCTGGGACTGTTGGGATTGGCCCATCCGGGTCTGGGATTTGGATCCGGGATTGTCCTGGGAAAAGTTTGGGAATGGGATCTGGGATTGTTGGGAGTGAAGGGCTGGGAATGGGATCTGGGATTTTCCTGGGAGAAATTTGGGAATGGGATCAGGGATTGTTGGGATCGCCCTGGGAAGGGTTTGGGATTTGGATCCGGGATTGTCCTGGGATCATCCTGGGAATGGGATCTGGGATTGTTGGGAATGTCCTGTGGGATTTGGATCTGGGATTTTCCTGGAAAAAATGTTTGGGAATGGGATCTGATTCCCGTTGGGAATTGCCAGAATTTCTACTCGGCCATCGTGGAGTGTGTGAGAACGGCGGGAAGGCCCCAAAATCCCCCAAAAAATCCCAAAAAAAATCCCCAGAAAATCCCCAAAAACCCCCCAGAAAATCCAGCAAAAATTCAAAAAGAATCCCCAAAACACCCTTCCAAAAATTGACAAAAAATCCCAAAAAAATCCCTCAAAAATCACAAAAATATCTCCAAAAAATTCCCCAAAATCCACAAAAAAAAGCCCCAAAAATCCCATAAAAAAGCCCCAAAAACCCCAAAAAACCCCAAAAAATCGCAAGAAAAATCCCAAAAAACGCCAAAAATCCCAGAAAACCCAAAACCCCCTAGAAAATACCTCCCCCCCCAAAAAAAACTCCAAAAAACCCCCAAAATCGCCAAAAATTGCCAAAAATATCCCCAAAAGCTCCTCCAAAAATCCCTAAAAAATTCCCCCAAAAATTCCCCAAAAATTCCATAAAAACCCCAAGAAACCCCAAGAAATTAAAAAAAAAAAATCCCCAAAAAAACCCTGCAAAAATCCCCCAAAAAATCCAAAAAAAACCCCAAAAAATTCAAAAAATTCCCCAAAAAATCCCCCAAAAATTCAAAAAAATTTAAAATATCCCCCAACCCCCCTCGGCATTGGCAGAATTTCTACTCGGCCATCGTGGAGGTGTGTGAGAACGGCGGGAAGCCCCAAAATCCCCCAAAAAATCCCCAAAAAATTCAAAAATAACCCAAAAATTTCAAAAATATCCCCAAAAAACCCTCCAAAAATTGCCAAAAAACACCAAACCAAAATCCCCCAAAAATACCCCAAAAATACCCCCCCAAAAAAACAAAAACAAAAATTCAAAAAATCACAGAAAAATCACAAAAAAATAAAAAAAAATCCGCAGAAAATGCCGAAAAGCCCCAAAAAACCCCAAAACCCTCTAGAAAATATCCCCCCAAAACAAAATCCCCAAAAAACCTCAAAAATCCCCCCAAAAAAAACCCTAAAATCCCCAAATAAATCGCCAAAAATATCCCCAAAAACTCCTCCAAAAATCCCTAAAAAATTCCCCAAAATCCCCAAAAAAATTCCCCAAAAATCCCTAAAAAATCCCCCAACATCCCCAAAAAATTCCCCAAAAATTCCATAAAAACACCCAAGAAACCCCAAAAAATAAAAAAAAAAAATCCCTCAAAAAAAACCCCAAAAATCCCAAAAAATCGCCAAAAAAACTCCAAAAAAAGAATTCAAAAATTGCCCCCAAAATTAAAAAAATATCCCCAAGCCCCCTTGAAATTCCCAGAATTTCTACTCGGCCATCGTGGAGGTGTGTGAGAATGGCGGGAAGCCCCAAAACCCCAAAAAACCCCCAAAAAATTTTTAAAAAAACCCACCAAAAATATAAAAAAAAATCCCCCAAAACCCCTCTAAAAATTGCCAAAAAATCGCAAGAAAAGCCCCCAAAAAACAAAAACAAAAATTCAAAAAATAAAAAAAAAAATCACAAAAAAAATCCACAGAAAACGCCAAAAATCCCAAAAAAAACCCCAAAATCCAAAACCCCCTAGAAAATACCCCCAAAAAATAAAAATATCCCCAAAAAATCCCAAAACTCCCAAAAAAACTCCAAAACCCCCCCAAAATCCCCCAAAAATCGCCAAAAATATCCCCAAAAACTCCTCCAAAAATCCCTAAAAAATCCCCCAAAAATCCCCCCAAAAATTCCCCAAAAATTCCATAAAAAAACCCCAAGAAACCCCAAAAATCCCCCAAAAAATCAGAAAAAATCCCCAAAAATCCCCCCCCCCCCAAAAAAAAAACAAAAACAAAAAAACCCCCCAAAAAAAAAAATTTCAAAAAATCCCCCAAAAATTTAAAATATTCCCCAACCCCCTCGGCATTCCCAGAATTTCTACTCGGCCATCGTGGAGGTGTGTGAGAACGGCGGGAAGCCCCAAAATCCTTAAAAAATCCCCCAAAAATTCAAAAATAACCCAAAAATTTCAAAGATGTCCACAAAAAACCCTCCAAAAATTGCAAAAAAAAAAAAAAAAAACCAAATCGCCCAAAAATCCCAAAAAAAACCAAAACAAAAATTCAAAAAAATCACAAAAAAATCTGCAGAAAACCCCAAAAACGCCCCAAAAACCCCAAAATCCAAAACCCCCAAACTCCCTTGAAAACAGCCCCCAAAAAAAAAAAATCCCCAAAAAATCCCCAAAAAACTCAAAAAAACCCCAAAATCCCCCCAAAAATCACCAAAAATATCCCCAAAACTCCTCCAAAAATCCCTAAAAAATCCCCCAAAAAATTCCCCAAAAATTCCATAAAAAACCCCCCAGAAACCCCAAAAAATCCCCAAAAAATCAAAAAAATCCCCCAAAAACCCCCGCAAAAATAAAAAAAAATCGCCAAAAAAACCCTGCAAAAATCCAAAAAAAATCCAAAAAAACCCCAAAAAATTCAAAAAATTCCCCAAAAAATCCCCCAAAAATTCAAAAAAATTTAAAATATTTCCCAAACCCCCTTGGAATTCCCAGAATTTCTACTCGGCCATCGTGGAGGTGTGTGAGAACGGCGGGAAGCCCCAAAATCCCAAAAAAATCCCCCAAAAACCACCAAAACCCCACAGAAAATCCTGCAAAAATCCCAAAAAAATCCCCAAAAAAACTCAAAATCCCCCCCAAAAAAGCCCCAAAATAACCCCCAAAAATTCCAAAAAAAAAGGCCCCCAAAATCTCAAAAAAATCCCCAAAAAAATCCCCAAAAACTGCCCAGAAAATCCAGCAAAAATTCAAAAAATATCCCCCAAAAAACCCCAAAATCCCCCCCAAAAAAGGCCCCAAAATCCCAAAAAAATCCCCGAAAAATCCCCAAAAACTGCCCAGAAAATCCAGCGAAAAATTTAAAAAAATCTCTAAATAAACCCCAAAATCCCCCCAAAAAACCCCCAAAAATCCCCCCAAAAAAAACCAAAAACAAAAATTCAAAAATCACAAAAAAATCCGCAGAAAACCCCGAAAACCCCAAAATCCAAAACCCCCAAACTCCCTTGAAAACAGCCCAAAAAAAAAAAAAAAATCCCCAAAAAATCCCCAAAAAAGTCCAAAAAAAAACCCCAAAATCCCCAAAAAAATCCAAAAAAAGCCCCAGAAAATCCCCAAAAACCGCCCAGAAAATCCAGCAAAAATTCAAAAAAATCCCTAAAAATCCCCCAGAAAATCCCGCATAAATTCAAAAAAAATCCCCAAAAAAACCCCAAAATCCACCAAAAATCCCCCAAAAATTCCAAAAAAAAGTGCCCCAAAATCCCCAAAACAATCCCCAAAAAACGCCCAGAAAATCCAGGAAAAATTCAAAAAAATCCCCAAAAAACCCCAAAATCCCCCAAAAAAAAGCCCCAAAAAAAGCCTCAAAATCCCAAAAAATCCCCCAAAAAATCCAAAAAAAGTGCCCCAAAATCCCTGAAAAAATCCCCAAAAAATCCCCAAAAACCCCCCAGAAAATCCAGCAAAAATTCAAAAAAAATCCCCAAAAACCCCCCAGAAAATCCCGCAAAAATTCAAAAAAAAGCCCCAAAAAACCCCCGAAATCCACCAAAAATCCCCCAAAAATTCCAAAAAAAAAGTGCCCCAAAATCCCCAAAACAATCCCCAAAACCCGCCCAGAAAATCCAGGAAAAATTCAAAAAAAATCCCCAAAAACACCCAAAAAACCCCTCAAAAAAGCCCCAAAAATCCCAAATAATGCCCCCAAAATTAAAAAAAATTAAAATAATATCCCCAAACCCCTTGAAATTCCCAGAATTTCTACTCGGCCATCGTGGAGGTGTGTGAGAACGGCGGGAAGGCCCAAAATCCCCCAAAAAATCCCAAAAAATCCAAAAAAAAACCCCCCAAAAAACCCCAAAAACCCCAAAAAATATAACCAAAACCCCCTCCAAAAATTGCCAAAAAAAACCCCAAACCCCCCCAAAAAATCCCCAAAAAAACAAAAACAAAAATTCAAAAAAATCACAAAAAATCCGCAGAAAACCCCAAAAACCCCAAAACCCCAAACCCCCAAAACCCTCTAGAAAATATCCCCCCAAAACAAAATCCCCAAAAAACCTCAAAAATCCCCCCAAAAAAACCCTAAAATCCCCAAATAAATCGCCAAAAATATCCCCAAAAACTCCTCCAAAAATCCCTAAAAAATCCCCCAAAATCCCCAAAAAAATTCCCCAAAAAATTCCCCAAAAATTCCATAAAAACGCCCAAGAAACCCCAAAAAATAAAAAAAAAATCCCTCAAAAAAACCCCCAAAAATCCCAAAAAATCGCCAAAAAAACCCCAAAAAATCTCCAAAATCCCCCCAAAATCTCTCAAAATTTAAAATATTCCCCAACCCCCTCGGCATTCCCAGAATTTCTTCTCGGCCATCGTGGAGGTGTGTGAGAACGGCGGGAAGCCCCAAAATCCCAAAAAAACCCCAAAAAAATCCCCAGAAAATCCCCAAAAACCCCCCAGAAAATCCAGCAAAAATTAAAAAAAAATCCCCAAAAACCCCCCCAAAATCCCCAAAAAAATCCCCAAAAAACGCCCAGAAAATCCAGGAAAAATTCAAAAAAAATCCCCAAAAAAACCCCAAAATCCCCCAAAAAAACCCCAAAATCCCAAAAAAATCCCAAAAAAATCCCCAAAAACCATCCAGAAAATCCAGCAAAAATTCAAAAAAAATCCCCAAAAACCCCCCAGAAAATCCCGCAAAAATTCAAAAAAAAGCCCCAAAAAACCCCCGAAATCCACCAAAAATCCCCCAAAAATTCCAAAAAAAAAGTGCCCCAAAGTCCCCAAAAAAATCCCCAAAAAACGCCCAGAAAATCCAGGAAAAATTCAAAAAATCCCCAAAAAACCCCAAAATACCCCAAAAAAAAAGCCCCCAAAATCCCAAAAAAAATCCCCCCAAAATTTAGAATATATCCCCAACCCCCTTGGAACTGGCAGAATTTCTACTCGGCCATCGTGGAGTGTGTGAGAACGGCGGGAAGCCCCCAAAATCCCCCAAAAAATCCCCAAAAAAATTCAAAAAAAACCCAAAACCCCCCAAAAAAAGCCCCAAAATCCAAAAAAAAATCCCCCAAAAATTAAAAATATTTCCCCAACCCTTGGAATTCCAGAATTTCTACTCGGGCCATCGTGGAGGTGTGTGAGAACGGCGGGAAGCCCCAAAATCCCCAAAAAATCCCCAAAAAATTCAAAAAAAAACCCCAAAAAAAACCCTAAAAAAGCCCCAAAATCCCAAAAAAAATCCCCCAAAAATTAAAATATCCCCAAAACCCCTCGAAATTCCCAGAATTTCTACTCGGCCATCGTGGAGGTGTGTGAGAACGGCGGGAAGCCCCAAAATCCCCAAAAAATCCCAAAAAAATCCAAAAAAAACCCCCAAAAAACCCCAAAATCCCCCAAAAAATATCACCAAAACCCCCTCCAAAAATTGCCAAAAAAACCCTAAACCCCCCCAAAAAATCCCCAAAAAAACAAAAACAAAAATTCAAAAAATCACAAAAAATTCCGCAGAAAACCCAAAAACCCCAAAATCCAAATCCCCCAAAACCCCCCTAGAAAATACCCCCCCCAAAAAAAATCCCCAAAAATCCCAAAGAAACTCCATAAAAACCCCAAAATCCCCAAAAAATCGCCAAAAGTATCCCCCAAAA